CGTTTCGTCGAGAACCCCAAACACTCCGATACGACACTCATTAGACCCCTTCCTAATACCAAAATAATTCAATTTGTACTATGCGATCAAAAATGAGTTGCTGTCGAGTCGTCTTTGAAATTTTTGTTTACGTGGAAAATCGTCTTTAACCTGAACTTCCAAAGGCGACTCGACAGCAACTCATTTTTGATCGCCCGTTAGAAAGAAAATTATTAAAAACGCATTCGTTTTAAACTCAAAATACAACGTAAGATAGGGGAAGGTGAGTGGAGGTGAGGGAAGTTGGAAACACTTTGGTAGCAGGATCATCCAATCCCCATGCTTATGCTACTATCATCCTGCCTCATCCTTTTTCAAATTTCAAGTTAGCAGCACCATCCGTTCGAGAGATACCTATGAATTTTACAAGTTTTGTTTCCAACTCCCTTTTCAGTAACAATTTGTAGGCACAGTCCCCCAAACATAATCCTTATTGTGCTGCTATGGGTCCACATAGTCCTGCTTCAAGTCTCAGGTCAGCAGCATCGCCCGTTCGAGAGATTTGATTTTTTTTAATTTTTCTTTGCGATTTCCTTCTTAGCAACATATTGTAAGCAAATTCGTTTGAAGCTAATATTTTAGAGTTTAGACCAACAGCACCATCTCTTAGAGAAAGGTTACGGAAGTGGAACGGTTAAAAAAATATTACGTTTACTGCTAGGGCCATATTCAACAGTTTTTTGAATCTTGTGTTAAAGCCGATGTCCGAAGGCGACTTCGGCACAAACTTAGGGATAGTAAATGTCTGATGGAATAAGTAAAATTTTTTATTAATTTATTTGCCTTTATTTTTGAGTGGGCGAGGTTTCAGCCAAGGTTGCTCTACCAACCCAACCCACTATACATTCCCGATCCCGGATTCGAACCAGGCATCACAGTCCAGTTTCAACTGAACTGCGCCACATGGGCCGGCTTTTCTACTCTGCCTAGGTTTGTGCCGAACCCACCTTCGGCTTTCGGCTTTAACACAAAATTGAAAAAACTGTTGAATATGACCCTAGCAGTAACCGTAATTTTTTTAACCGTTTCACTTCGGTAACCATTCGCCGCTGGTCTAAAATATGAAGCAGGATGATGCGGGTACATAGCGTTGGTAGATAAGCTTAAAACGATCCTGCTTCTAATGTGTTGCTAAAAAGGAAATCGCAAAAGAAAATTTAAAAAATCATCAACGGGCGCTGCTACTGACCTGAGACTTGAAGCAGGATGATACTGACACTGACATAACACCATAATCAGGCTAATGTTTGTGGGATCCTGCTTCCAAAGTGTTGCTGAGAAACAAGTTGGCAACAAAACTTCAACAAGTATAAATTATTGTGCACAACTCTTGATCCGATAAAGCGCATTTTTTTAACCGAAATAGCTTTTGTTTTGACATCACCAATGGATATATTTCTTGCAGTCGACAATCCGTTCTTGAGGTATAAGGGAATATACCCGGATCACGATAAGCCCGTACTTTGATAAGAGGACAGAAAGTAACGTAAGTAAGTAAAAGTTATGCACGTTTTACTTTCAAAAACAGCATCTCAGGAAATAATTCGTGGGGGAGCCCCCCTTTTAGACAGCGAAATTTGATGGCCGCCTGGCACACTTTCAAGGTATAGGCTACCTACTTCAAATTCCAGGACCATTCTTCCCCTAGAAGTAGTTCGAAATGGCAGAAATGGGTCCGGACGGACGGACAAAACGCAAACAATAGCACATTTCTTTACTTCCTAAAATGCGCTAAAAATTCATATCACTCGAACGAGTGGTGCTGCTCACCTAAAATTTGAAGTAGGATGAGACAGGATGATAGCATCATAAGCAGGATGGGACTTGGATGATCCTGCTACTAAAGTGTTGCGAACTTCCCTCACATGGTGAGTGGTATATTAATCAATGAATTGAGACAGTAGGTACTCTCATCTATTTTGAATATGGATGATTCCATTTATATTATTTTTGATATTACCTCAAAAAGCAATTGATTTTGACCCAAACACCTAAAAAGGTAATCATCAGGCGTCAATTGAAAGATTAACAAATTGTCACATGATCAACGACCTGTGTAATTTATTCACATGGAATACAGTATGTCTTAGATAAATTAAACAACATATTTATGTAACCAGCCAACTCATTAAAGGGTGATATTTTTTAAGGAAATATACACTTCTTGGGTTTACTTACTTTTGGAATATCTCTGTTATCTCAAACAGCAATTAAAGCAAAAGCATTTCAATAATAACAAACATGTTTTAAGGTTTAAATGTATGTAGGTACTATAAACACAATAATTTTTCCCCGTTTTTTAAAATCAAATGCTATCTCGTCTTCTTCGATTATATTGTTAAATCAACGAAATCGATTATTATCAGAGGTTAGTGTGAGATATAGTGGCTTTATAGAGACAGTGGTGAAAATAGGAGCCCAGCCGCCATGTTGCATCGAAAATGCAAAATACCACCGGCGGTGGTGTTACGTCTATTTTAAACGTTTTATCATTGATATTACACACTAAGTCAAACTAGAGACGCTTGTTTAAGTCCGTACAGGAACTTATTCAGTTTGTCCACAAATTCTCCTTTGATCAAACCGTCTGCCTGGCAGACCAAGGTCAGCAGAACACAATCAAACACATTGCATAATTAGGTGCTAATTATGTGCCCTATTCCCGAATTATGTGCTCCTTTTTTTTTTAAAATATTACATGTTCTGCCAGGTTCATATGAACTCAGCAGAGCACTACCTCAAAAAACCAAGAAAATGAAAAGTGAACTAACTATAATTAGGTGCTAATTAAGTGCCCGGGTACGTTACGCTAATAAGCCTCCCAGGTATGATCATGAAATTGATAGAAATGGATAGAGGACACCTTAATAACACGTTTAGAATAAAAAAATTTGCGGAAGAGGGCCTAAATTTTCCACAATCTTAATTAAAAGTTCACCTCATTTTCTGGAAATCTGGTGTTATTTTACGTATATTTTGTAATTCTTAAGTTGGTGAAACTGAAAAATTTTATGTGATAGCTCTTGTTCCACTAATAAACAAAGGTGACAGTAAATTTTTGTAGGAGGTTATGTTAACTTCTTCGTCTACTAAAATGAAATATGCTGGATTTAACGTGTATATTAATAGAATGTAATAAAAGTAGTACAACAGGTATAATATACAATACAATTTTAGGTTTTGTTCGACTTAAACACCAAATAAGCGACACTTCCATGTGACTGACATTTTAATAACACCACTTTTTGAAGCTTATACAGTCTAAACTTGAATGCATTAGGGAAGAAGGATGTCGTAGGGAAGGTTGCATGTGGCAACAATTTCTTGGTATCGATCACCGAGAGGGGAAACCCGGGCACTTCCTGCATGTTTCATATGAATCGCCGCTTAGCATCCACCGCCTAATACGGTCGAGAGGGGAAGGAACATCTCTCGCATTTTCCATGAATCGCTGCTTAGCAATGTAGGATGTAGAGAACTACTTACTGCTATTATGGTATAATTAAAAACACATGTATAAAGTTGTATACCATTGTTTAAAGTTAATTAAATCGTGGAAAAATAACATAACCTCTTAAGAAACTAACTAAAGTTGGCACTCAGGAATGTTAAGAACACTAGTACCAACTGAAAAACAATCATGAAATTTGGAGTAATATAACCTCACTTACGACGAAATGAAGTGAACTTTGAATTAAGATTGTGAAAAATGTAAGGCTTCTTCCGCAAATTTTTTAACTGATAACGTGTAATTAAGGTGTCCTCTATCCATTTCTATCAATTTCATGATCATACCTGGGGGGCTTATTAGCGCAACGTAACCTAAGTGCCCTATTCCCGAATTAAATGCTGCTTTTTTTAAATTATGACATGTTCTGCCAGGTCCCTATGAACTCAGCAGAGCACTACCTTAAAAACTCAAGAAAATGAAAAGTGAACTAACTATAATTAGGTGCTAATTAAGTGTCCTATTCCCGAATTAAATGCTTCTTTTTTTTTAAATTCTGAACCTGGCAGAACATGTAATAATTTAAAAAAAAAGGAGCATTTAATTCGGGGATAGGGCACTTAATTAGCACCTAATTATAGTTAGTTCACGTTTCATTTTCTTGGTTTTTTGAGGTAGTGCTCTGATGAGTTTATATGCACCTGACAGAACATGTCATAATTTAAAAAAAGCAGCATTTAATTCTCAAATATGCCATCGTGGCCATACTGTCACATACATCAGGTTCCTCTATAGCTTTCGCTGCATTCGTTCCAGCTACTTTTCGTCGAAACACAAATTTTTCATCGTCTGCGATTTTACTGATTTGTAAACTAACTAACCTATTTTCTCTAAACTGGCTACTTTATCCCATAGATATTCCAACAACACCTTAATTGATCTAATTTTAAGTATTTCAACACAGATCTCAAATTATTCGTCCAATAAGCACACAATAACCATATACATGTAGTAGAAACACAGCTTTAATAGTAAGTAAGCTGCGAAACTCGATGCAACATGGCCGCCGATCTCAACAACCAATCAGAAATTAGACACTCTATTGTCGCCACTGTTCCTAGAAAGCCACGGTAGTGTGAGGTTGGTTGCCTCCTACTGCTCTCGTAATATCTTTGACTGAAGACGAAAAGTTTACATGTGTCGAAATGTGCAAGCAAAGTTTAGGTGCAGGAGGGGGTAGCTTCACGATGGTGCCTTTTTTTTGTTTTTCATAAAAATGTAATATCTATTATCTTGATCACTAGTCAATGGTCTCAAACGTGAAACCCTGCAGTAAACAATAATTCCCGCTGTACGGTAAAATTATATCCTGCCTTAAGATGCTCGCACCCTACAATGCAAAGACCCTCATGCACATCGAGTTATTTGTCGAGTCTGTTACGCTTCAATGCGCTAACTCATACGGGTCGTGTCGGAGCACCGAAAAATGTAACAACTGGCAATATTTACCTACCTTATCGAATTATTATTATTTGGTGGCGGCATAGGAGTTGGAATTCGAGGTGGTAACACAGGCACCGCAGTCTTCTTCCTGCCGACGGGCCTGCCGAATTCCATCTTGTCCTGCATCAGAAGAAAAAGAGTCGTTAATTCGAGGAACATACTATAGGCCCAAAATGTAAATATTTGCCGTATTCAGCGCGTTTAAATAAAATAAACATCGCGTAAATAAAGTAAATAAATTAGTTTTGTTTGTAGTGGATGATTTACAGGATTTTATGCAAATGAGTTTGATGAATATTACCGAACGCATTGGTTTAATCAGATTGAGTCAACAGAGGGATTTAAGATGTATGCGTCATACGCCGAAAAAGGGGAAATGGTTTAATAATTCTGGAATTGCCGATAGTTTCTTGACTACCATTAAATGTTCGAAGTTATGTCTGAAACTTTCTTGTCTACTAAAACAGAAGACGAAAACTGACATTTCTCAGAAGTTGCGTTCGAGCGAAAAGAAATATGAACTCGTACTACAAATAAAGAAACATGCTACAGTGGGAATTGTACAAATAAACCTAAACCTTTGTATACTCTTTAAACTTGGATAGCTAACAATATGTCTTCGTGTTGGTATATAAGTTCTCTTTACCGCGAGGATTTTAATGAAGATTATGTATGGTGTGATGACAAGCGTATCTTTCAAGAACTCCGCAATATTTTTTCTACTTTCACATAAACAAAGCGAGAAGTCTGGGTTGTTGAAACGGTGGTGGTATCTATAAATACAAAACGTCAACGAAATTGGTTGTAAAAAGATGCCGTTAAGTGAATTCGGATGGTGAAAATAAAATCGCGGAAACTCCCTGCAGTATAAATTGTATCGTTGACGTAAGAATTATTGCCGTCAAGATCATTATTCATTCGTAGTTTGACAACACAACAAACAAAAACTAGGAGTATTTTGTCGCAAGCGATGAGTGCTCGCAGAATGATTTTAAATGTACCGACCCCAAAAACAAATTAAACTGAACGCATAAATTATATTGATTAATGAATTAATATTTGATTCGACTGCAGAACAGTACATTCAGGGCAAACCTATATCGTTTGTATCTGTTGTGAATGTTGTGATGGATCTCATTCGAGAAGGGTGGATAAATAAAGTATCTGAAAGGGAAAACAATTTTAGCCTCTAGCTAGACGTAATTCTAGTACCTTACACGTTTTCCAGTAAATATGTGGGCGTAAGCTTAATTTTCTACGGAAAGCGTACAAGATTAAAAAATATTTGTCCACGTGGCTACCATCCCAACTAAATAGTCCAGTAACTTTAGGTGAAAAACAGGCCCGACCTCTAAAAAAATCCGATCAAGCTGGATTTTGGCATACTCCTTCATTTTGGCATTATAAACAATGTGTAAATAGTATATTATGCAATGAGCATTTAATGACGGCTATAACCACACGAGTAAGAGAATTACGAAGCTCGCCATGACGAGTTTCGTAATGAATAGGAGTGTCTTAATAGCTATTAAATGCGAGTTTCATACACTCTTGTTTCTACAACTATGATGAGCTATAAAGAGGTGATGTGATACTACGATGGCTTCGAAAGCGATTCAAAATTTTAAGACGTGTGCAGATAACGAAGTTAGCGACCTCAATGCATGCGCACTGAGCAATCTTGGTAACCCGTTCCAGCGGAGTTTCACTGTCAAATTTATTCAAGATGACCGCCGATTGGAATTTTATGATTAATTCATAAGAAAATGAACCACCAATTCGCTGTATCTTAATGATAATCTATATCGAAATCACTATCATTTAAGTACAGGTGGCAAAAGTTGTAAATCAGCATATGCATGATGAAAGAGCATTTTTGGTAACAGATCAGTATTTCATTAGCTAAAATTATCGATCTCAGGAGTAATCTAACTCAAAATAGACTAAAGTCTGCAGATCTACACTATAACAAAAAGCTTTTAGTTAAAATTTAAAGTATCTAGCAATTGTAATTACTGAGATCTCAGCCAGACAGCCATAACGAATATAATAGCGTATTTTTTTTTCAAAAATGCGCTAATAACTTGTTATACTGGTAAAATTATAACGGTAAAATTAAATGCGCTAATAATTAAGTTGTTATACTGGTAGCGCTATCTAACGGTAAAATTATAGCACCTCCGAAAACCATATCGAAATTATTTTCTTAAATATTATCGATCTCACAAGTAATACCTATAACTCCAAATAGACTAGAACCTACACATCTACACTACATCAGAAAGCTTTTAGTGAACATTTGAAGTCTCTAGCTATTGTAATTGCTGAGATCTTAGCCGGACAGCCAGCCAGCCGTATCGAATATAATAGCATATTTTTTCCAAAAATGCGCTAAAAAGTCCATTGTGAAATTGTGTAGGCTAAGTAAATTATTCAAGCTCAAAGGTCGTAAAAAACAGTTTTAAAAAAATCTCGTTAACTATTGGTTTTACAGTAATTTTGGGATCATAAACAAGTGTATTACAAAATTTTGAAAAAAAAATGTTCTATGCGAAATTCACGTGTGTGTGTAGTAAGGGTTGGCATTGGATGTTATCCATTTGCCACAGACTTTTGTTATGTTCCCTGGTTTTATAATTAACGCGAACTAATTTTAAATGTCCATTTGAATGCTATTCATGAAATTGACCAGAGCATCAAATATGTTTTTGTTTTGAGTCTCAAGTAATGTCGTTATGTTTACCGGTAGAGGAATTGAATTTGCTATCAAAATTTCTTGCAGTTGTTTAATGGCGTGGATAAAATTTTTGCATGAGAAGAAGATGTGGTTTAAATCACCTATTGGCAAGTTATCGCATGAACAGTAGGGCGACTCGGCTAGGCCAATTTTATTAAGGTGAGCGGGGAATTTCCCGTGGTTAAGTTTTAATCTAGTGATTGAGACCGCGTATTTTCTGGTGACATTGAAATTTGAAATATGTGGTGTCTTGCATGGTACCTTGGGGTGTATCAAGGTATAATGGTTCTTGGACTTTGTCGTAAAATCTTGCCAATGAAGATCCCAGCTTAATCTCATGTTCTTCCTTGCCAAATTCACTAGGTCGTAAAAAGGCGAAATTTTGAATAATTTAGTTCCCGACGCAGCTTCTTTGGCAAGTTCGTCTGCCTTTTCATTTCCTGCAATTCCCGAATGCCCCTTAACCCAAACAAATACAATTTTACGTTTTGAGGTTTCTAATGTAAATATGCGTTGCTTTAGTTGACACATGATCTCTGAATTACCCATTTTAAAGAAATTTAGATTATTTAGTGCAGTAAGAACGGATTTAGAGTCAGACAGAATAACCGCGTTTTGTGATATATTGACTTCTATAAGCCATTTTAACGCCCTGTCTATGGCCAACGTTTGTAAGCCCAATAGTATTCGAGATAACGATCTATAAAGTTCAAGATCAGAGCATACTCCACATACAGTCCAGGGCGCAGAGGACCCGCATTATGCGTCGCAGCTAGTGGCAGACATTCCTCTTCATAACCGTAACAATAAAAACATCTACCCGTATTTCGTAGTCACCTCTCACTCGTCTTTTTCCTGTCTCACTTTCTGTCATGTGGTTTTCCCGTCAAGCGAAGGGAGAGACGACTAAAGAGCGCGAGGCGCCTACCGAAAGATGGGTGGGTGGATTGAAAACTTTCTTTTGACGGGTGGTGTTATTAGTTCTCGTATTTACTTCTATAATAATTTTCTTTATATTTTTGTCAATTAAAGATCATAAAAATCCGTCCAGCCGTTCCAGGAGATATAAGTGGTGTAACAGAAACGACATTGTTTTATATATTTTATGGATATTATTAATAAACCCAATTATGATAAAAATTGCGGAGATCATCGACTTTTTACGTACTCTGTACAATTTCAAAAAACGTCCCCGTAGTTAACCATATAGGGCTTGACAAGGAAAACTGTAACGGTTTATTTTCTTCATTACAAGCATTATTAGTGCTCACGGTATATTTATTTGAATCCTCGTAACTTTTGAATGGATGGCTTCATCTATTGTTGGAATTCTTAACCGTACCATTTTAGCGCGCAGTTTGCCGCGGCGTGGTTATCGTGTCTCGACCTTCGTCTTCCTCTTTCTTCGGTGAACTGTGAGGCGTTAGTTGAGAACGCATGGAATTTTAATTGCTATCATCCAATTTTATTAATTTCTGGCAATTGGATTCACTAAATTGGGGATTCTGGAACAATTAGTGAACCGATTCGCCCTTAACTTCGTAGGAGGAAAGTACCATAATTTCAATTTAAGAAGTTCCTATACTGTCATCTCTCACTAAAGTAACATTCTGATAAACAAAAGCTATTGAAACGAAATGGTGAATGACTTAAAACGATTGACAGCTTCCCTTCCTCTAATAAAGCAAATTATAAATCTATACTATTAGGTTATATGATAAACTGAACTAATCGCAACATTAGTATTTCACAATGTCCACATCGCAAAGTAATTAGAAATTTCGGCCATTGTCCGAATTCAGCGTTTGATTATACGTTCACATGTATATTACCTCATGCTCAATGGCAAACGGTTACTAAAACCACCCACAAGCTCAGTTAAGTACAGATACTAACAAAACCTTTAAGCCCCAGTTCCACCAACAAAATTAAGCCTTGCTTAAAGTTAAGTATTTAAGTTATGCTTAACTTTAAGGGATACTTAATTTTGACGGTACAATTGGCCCTAACAGAAATAATTATAATTCCCCCAGGGCACGTTCAGTCCCCGCCACCAACTAAAATCTCCATATTGACGTAAATTTTAATCATTTGAGACATCCAACAGCTTTAACCGCCTCCACAAGTCCAAAGACTTAATTAAAAATTAAGAACACCTGATGTAATTCCTGGTACAAAATAGAAAAATTTAACTTGAGAATTATTATCTGGGTCGTAATTTGGGTTCGATTAATCACAAAACCGACTATTTACAGATAATATTCGACACAAAACAATGAAATAATCTGAAGGAAAAATAGGCACTTAGGGCCAGAATAACACATACCACGCAACAAGCGATCGGTAGAACAATTGATTAAACAAATCTTAATTACTCTAAGGT